TTTTGGGACAGAGAGAGACAGAGCGTGAACGGGGGAGGGGCAGAGAGAGAGGGAGACACAGAATCGGAAGCAGGCTCCAGGCTCTGAGCCATCAGCCCAGAGCCTGACGCGGGGCTCGAACTCACGGACCGCGAGATCGTGACCTGGCTGAAGTCAGATGCTTAACCGACTGCGCCACCCAGGCGCCCCGCATAGACACATTTTAATACTATAAATGTCATTGTAAGCTTTAGCACTGTGGGAAAAAAATGCTTGGTTTTTGTTTTCACTGACGTTCAAAATATTTTCTAATTGCATTTGTGGTTTCTTCTTTGACCATGAGTATTTATAAATGTGTTGGTTAATTTCCAATTTTTGAGGATTTTCTTAATATTGTTCCACTACAGGTATCTAGTTTAACTTGATTATAGTTAGAGAATTTATGGAGGCTTGTTTTTTTATCCCAGAATATGATCTACTCTTGTTTTTCATGAAATAGACCTGAATGGTAAAAATGGTTGTTCATACCTCACTGGATGGGTCCAGTATCTGGAATATAGTGAGTATTTAAGTGTTAGTAATCATTACAGTTCTGCATTTAACTCTCTTTTTTTCTTTTCCCATATGGATTGGATTAATCTCTAAAGCTTCTTTCTAGCTTTAAGAATTCTGAATCTTTAGGATCTAATAAAAATTGCATATTCTGTAAATTTTTCCCTTCTCTCTTTGAGAGCTTGTTTCTTAAAGATTCAAAACTAAATTTTATATTTTATAAATTTTTGGAATTCTTACAGGGACGGAAGAAGTCTATAGTGGCTGTGGAGCCCAGAAGTCTTATTCAAGGAGCCTTTCAGGGGTGCTCAGTGTCTGGGATGACACTGAAATACATGTACGGGGTAAATGCCTGGAAGAACTGGGTTCAGTGGAAAAATGCCAAGGAAGATCAGGGGGATCTGAAATGTGGCGGTAAATACACAGCATGAATTTGTATCTTAAGGTGGTTGGGAGGATAGAGTGCAAGTCATTAATCTACACAAAAGGGATACGTACTAGGTCAAAAATCCCATAAAACTTTGGTTTTGGCCTGCCTTAAAATTTTTCCCATTTTTATTTAACTTCTTATTTCTTTTTTCTCCTTGTCAGGTGTTGAACATGCTGCATCTAGCCCATGTTCTGACCCTTTAGGAAGTGCTCAAGACCATGTACTCTCTCAAGAATCCTCAGAGCCAGGCTGTAGAGGTAAAAATCATTTCTCTGCTTGTAATCTGAATTTTCTGAATCACTTTTAATATTATTGTCAATTTTAAATTTGTAAATGGAATATTTAGTATTTGAAGTGTTATGGTAAAAGAGAGAAATTAATATCCTACTCTCAGTTATAAAGAGCATAAGCTCTATAAAGGTAAGGTTGTACAGGCATGATTTCGTTATGCAAATATGAGGAATTTTGTTCCTTTTTCCAACACTATGAGGGTGGCTCAAATCTGCCTTCTTGAGCCCTGTATCTGTAACCTAACCCACATGGAACTTCTGTTGTTGGTGTTGGTGTTAAGAAAAGTACCTGGAAAAGCCTTGCCTCTTCTGTAGAAATTTTTCCTAATAACAAGCTCTGTGAGACTGGGTGCTGGGAAATTTGGAACCCAATAAACACTTCACATAGAACAACAGTGTATAATTTTAGAGCCCACATTAACTCCCCCATTGCCCCTGCCTTGGTTTTGAAATTCCTATTCTAAACTTTTGTTTTCATTTTATATTTTCCTTTTTTATTATCTTTGTTTTATGTAATATACTTACTATAATCTTTGTGGAATGAGATAGGGCAGGAATGAATGAGTATGTCCTTGTCACTAGATTTTTTTTGCCTGTTTCCAACTATACCTTCTATCTAACAACTTAGTAGTTGCATGCACTCTTGGCTTCACCTCAGTGTATCCTGCTGGCTTTTAGTTAGTGGCTGCTGTGGTCTATGACTCATTCAGTTCCTACAGATCAAGTGTAATCTCTACAGAGTTATATAAATATACTCCTCTTGTGGAGGTTTATTGGTCCCTTTACCAACCACTTTGAGCCACAGCACTCTTTGTTTTAAAAAAGAAAGAAGGATAATGAGAATGAAGAGGTAATACTATGTTAGACTACCAGCCCTAAATGCAATAGCCACAGGGGATGCCTACTCATTTTTGCTACTCGTTCATCAAAAAAATACTTACTGAATTTATGTGCTAGGTGGTTAGCAGACATAGTGGTTAGGTGCTTTGGTGAAAAGGTCAAACATGGTCCTTGCCCTCTGAGCCACCACTTTTACCTTTTGCAAAATCATTTCAGGGGAACTCAAGTGTATCTTTGGAAACATGCAGTCTTGTCTCAATATAGATGAGCAGTGACTAGGAAGAGTGTTTCAATTCTAATCTGAATTGAAGTAGGATCTCTACTGAAGTAGTATCTCTACAAATCAAATTGGGTAACTCTCCCAAAATTAATTCAGTTCTTAGTTGATTTCAAAGCCTTAATATGCTATGTAAGGTTTACCATGATCTGCTCCCATCTGCCTTTCTTGATTTTCTCCGGTATATCTAAATCCCCTGAACCTTTTCATTTTTTGTGTATTCCAGCATTTCTAAGGACATGACATTTTTATATGTTATTTAAGTGTTCTATATGCACATAAATCTGAGTTAGAGAAAGTTAAACAGCATTTTAATGCAGATATTCCCAGAACCTTTCATAAGCCTTTTATATACCATTGTGAATTCTTTAGAGGCAAATATAATATGCTGCTGTTTTCCAAATTTATCAGATCTTAGAAACCCGGGTTTGTCCAGCTCTCATATTGCTAGTATTTTGTGGAATATGCTTTGGGAAAATTTTTTACATCCTCAGATTGGAATTCTTTATTCACCTGTTTAATTCTTTTTCACCTTTCAAGGTCTGGCATTAGTATCACATCCTGCAGAATCTCACCTGACCCTTCCCTGTTGGATGTTCCTTATTTGTTTTCCTAGAATCCTTCTTAAATAAAACCTCTGTCATAGCACCTGGTACTACATTGTTTTCATTTCTTTAATTGAAAAAGCCTTGAGAGCTGGATTTGTCTGTAATCCATGTATTCACCAGTGTTCACTGCAATGCCTGGGGGCACATTAGTGGTCAGTGTTTTTTAGTGAATAAAGTTGTGTTACTGTGTTTCTTATAAGTTAATATTTCAGATGTTTTCTACCTTTCCATAGTCCGTTCTATCAAGCTGAAGGAAGATATTCTGTCCTGCACTTTTGCTGAGTTGAGTTTGGGTTTATGCCAGTTTATCCAAGAGGTGCGGAGACCAAATGGTGAAAAATATGATCCAGACAGTATCTTATACTTGTGCCTTGGAATTCAGCAGGTATCAAATTCAGTAATTGTTCTAAAATGTATTGCATTTTTAATAATTCTCATAGAACTTACGATTCAAACTGAAAAACTATAGTGTGTATTGGTTGTTTGGTGTTACTTTTATATTCTGTTCTAATGAACCACTGACCCTGATTTAAAAGTCTTGATCATATAGTCTTTTGTAAGCCAAATTGAGACTCTGTAGAATAACAGAAAATGAGGATGGTGCATTTAATTATTAAATGGACAAAAAAGGCAAGAATAGCCAATTCACAAAAAAGTAATATAGGTGAATATGTATATATATGTATGTACTTTAAATGCATATTAAAATAACAGGTTACCATTTTTTGTCTATCACATTAGCAAGAATAAAATAATTATAACACTTATTGTTGATAGGACTTCTTTGAGGAGGGGATTTGCCTTCATAGCTGGTGATAATTAGTATACACTTGAACATATGTTTCAGGAATATTTTTGAATGTTCATACTTTTTTTTTAAATTTTTTTAACGTTTATTCATTTTTGAGAGAGAGAGAGAGAGAGAGAGAGAGAGAGAGAGAGAGAGAGAGAATGTGAGCAAGGGAAGGGCAGAGAGAGAAAGAGACTGTGAAGCAGGCTCCAGGCTCCGAGCTGTCAGCACAGAGCCCGATGCAGGGCTCGAACCCACGAACCGCGAGATCATGACCTGAGCCAAAGTAGGATGCTCAACCAACTGAGCCATCCAGCACACCAAATGTTCATACTCTTTCACCAAGTAATTCCCTTTTTGGGAGTCTGTCAAAGCTAGATATTAGTGTTATGTTTATATCAAAGGTAGATAGAGTGTTATGTTTAAGTAAATTATAGTATATTTATAAAGTATATTACATAACCAATAAAAATTGTTTACAAAGTAACTTCTAGTAACATAAAAATATTAATATTAAAGGACTAAATGAACAAAATGAGAGTACGAATACATGTTAACACAGTGATTTAAAACCCAATCATATAAATACATAGTAAAATGAAATGCACCAAAAAAATGTTGACAGCAGTTATCGTGGTTATCGTCTTAGGGTGGTAGTGCCTTGGGTATTGTTGACTTTTCTCTGTTTGCCAAATTTTCTTCCAGGTGTATGATGGGGGAGGTGGGTTCTTTTATTTAGGCATTTATTAAAGTTTATTTCTTAATTATACAAGTAGTTTGTGCTCACTGTAATTATTAAAACAGTGAGGCATTTAAGGAAAATTTTATCTACTTCCATTCCCAGTCTCTGAGGTAACCAGTATTGTAACATCTGTCATTCATGTACCTTCTTCTGTGCTATACATTTATGCATTTATTCTTATGCATTATGCATTTATACATTTATTCTTGTTTTGCTTACTGTTTAGCAAAATAGAGCTCATACCATACACATTTTTTTCAGCTTACTTTTTTTAAAAATTTAAATGTTTATTATTTTGAGAGAGAGTATGCACACAAGCAGGGGAGGGGCAGAGAGAGAGACAGAGAGAGAGAGAGAGAGAGAGAGAGAGAGAGAGAGAGAGAGA